TCCATTCCCCTTCCAGAATCCCAGAAGCCAGGGGCAGTCTCACAGGCATGACAGGAACATTGTTACTTGTACAAATTGGCCCAAGGGAAGGGCACTAAATATATGGATATTTGGGAGCCCAAATGAAATGGTCAGGGGAAACCCACAATTCCACAAAATCTTGCCACACATAAAGCTTCCGAACAAATAGTAATGCCTCACACTTAAATACAGAGAGACTTCCTAGTATATTAGCCACTCGCTGAGTGCCTTTCACATGAAAGAGAAAGACCAAAGTAAACAAGCAGACAACATTTCCCTCTGCTAAAAACAAACAAACAAAAACCCCAAGAATTGGTATTGGTGAAAACGGGAAAATGGGCACTCAAGAGCCTCGTGAGTCAGAGAGCAGCTTCCTCTCTGCAGCGATGAGGGAGCAGATCCATGCACCTCCACGGTACCCAGCTCCCCTCACGTGCTTGGGAGACTTTCACTGACCCAAAGCAGCAGTGAATTTTCATCTTGAAAATCAATTGTAGACTAAACTCTATTGCCAGGTGAAGGAAGGGTGATGGGCAGGTAAACTAGGATTTGTGTGGCTTCCAAATACTTACTAAACATGTTGCTGAAACTCCCAGGTTGTCTGTAGACCAGCTGGGGATTACAGCTGGGGATTAATTTAGATTTATGGAGAATGTAAGCTTCCATATCAGTCCCGAGTTGCTGAAGAAATGGATTGTTAGGCAGAGCTTGAACGCCTGCCCAGGGACTTGGACTTAATACAGCATTTCAGAAGGGATCAGAGGTTCTGGGGTGACCTGTGTCTAAATCCCTAATTCCCATATACACATTTGATCATTTATTCAGCACATGACTCATATTTTCGCCAGGCAAGCTGTGTGAAATGCCCCCCTGACCTCCTGCACAGCCCACCAGTTACTCATTCCGATCGTCGCATTGGAAATGAACCCTGGATATCAGAGGAGCTTGGGCCAGTTTATCCTCATGTGCTCTCGTTTTTATTATCGAAATGTAAAGCTGTATTTAGTTTATTGATACCAAAATGTTTACTTGGAAAATAATAAAACCCAATAGAGGCTGTTGTCTCCATGATTTTTGGCACGGTATGTATGAGATGTACTTAAATTGTCAAAAGATTGATTCATTAGGAAGTTTCCTCCCAGCCAAAGTGCGGTGAATTATTTAAAACTCCTGGCATCCAAAGCAGCTTGTGCACCCTTCCTTTAGTCATTTACAAGTACTTTCATAGATGGAATCCAATTTATTTTTCAATGTCAGAATATCTGTTATAGCAAAATATCAAGACCTTGGTGAAACAAACCAACCATGCAAGAGAAACTAGAGGGCTTAACATACCGGGAGAGAGGAATGTAGCTCTCTCCTGTTTGTTGATTACGGGTCTTTAAGGAAACTTGTTGGAAGATTGAGCTTGTGGTCTGTTTTATAGTCAGAGGAAGTGAACTTTATTACTCTGGTTCTTGTCTTTTGTGCAAAGATCCACAGGAACCATTTCTCCCTTTTTCCTACAGAATGTCCTCCTTTGGATTATATCCTGTGTGGTACCGTATATTTATTGCCCTGTATTGCTAATGTGTTTCTATTCGTATTTCTCGGCTTTTAAATTTATTTTAACTCATTCGGGGCATCCCCACTTACTCTGCTCCTTTCAGAGTACATTTTAGCACTCAACAGGCACTCAACAGATGTCTGTTGATTGAGGGGTATCACTGATTGACACCACATGTTGCACATCGACTATTTGTTATATTTGAGCTACACAAAATTATTATGGAATTCATTGCTAAATTAAACCACTGTTCAGAGAATCTGAACATATCTCTGAAGTGACTGATTATATAACATATGGAAAGAAAAGCAACACCTGTTAAAACAGAAAGAAAGCACCCAGTACTGAGGACTTTCACACTGGTGTCATTAATGCCCCACCTGTATCTCAGTTTAGTTTTGTGGCGGAAAGCTATCTTAGTGCAGTCTTATTATTTACCGTAGGGCTAAGCTTGACAGGATTAACAGATCTGGATTCCAGCCCCAGTGTCACCACTGTCTTGCTACTTCCATGAGCAAATCACTGTGATTTATTCTGGACTCACTTTCGCCCTCCATATATTCGTCAGAAAAGGGCATGTCTGGCTTTGGCATCAGGTTATGTTATGTGTATGTAATGTGATAAAGCAACTGAAAACATTTTGAAGTGTTAGAATGAGCCTCACTTCTCTATATCCTAAGTTAACATTATCATTATATCATATTTTTAAAGGAATGGTGAAATAGAACTGTTTTGTTAAAATCAATTACAAAGCAAAATATTACAACTCTGGTTCATAAAAGTAAATATAGATTTCTCATATTACAAGAATTTTTAGTACCACCGACTGTTATTTTCAGAGAATATTTTTTATTCATTAAGAATGTTTGATCTTAGCTATTGTAAATTGTGCTGTTATGAACATAAGAGTGCATAAATTATTTCTGATTAGTGTTTTGGGTTTCTTAGGATATATTCCTAGAAGTGGGATTACTAGGTCAAATGGCAGCTCCATATTTAATTTTTTTGAGTAACCTACATGCTGTTTTCCATAGTGGCTGCCCCAGTCTGCATTCTCACCAACAGTGCACGAGGGCTCCCTTTTCTCCACACCCTCGCCAGCACTTGTCGTTTGTTGATTTGTTGATGGTGGACATTCTCACAGGTGTGAGGTGATACCTTACTGTGGTTTTAATTTGCATCTCTCTGGTGATTAGTGACTTTGAGCATTTTTTCATATGTCTCTTGGCCATCTGTATGTCCACTTTGAAGAAGTTTAGGTCCTTTGCCCATTTTTTAATTAGATTGTCTTCTTTTTGTTAAGTTGTATGAGTTCCTTATATATTTTGGATATTAATCACTTATCGATGTATCATGGGCAAATATGTTCTCCCAGACAGTGGGCTCCCTTTTCATTTTGTTGATGGTTTCTTTTGCTGTGCAGAAGCTTTTTATTTTGAGCTAAGATCTGGAAACAACCCATCAGTAGATGAGTGGATAAAAAAGCTGTGGTACATTTACACCATGGAATACTATGCAGCTGTGAAAAAGAAGGCTCTCTTTCCCTTTGGGACAACATGGATGGACCTGGAGTGTATTAAGTTAAGCGAAATAAACCAGTTAGAGAAAGACAAGTATCACATGATCTCACTCATATGTGGAATCTAATGAACAAAATAAACTGATGCACAGAAGACATCCAGAGACATAGAAGCATGGAGCAGACTGACGAATCTCAGAGGGAAGGCAAGGAGAAGGGGGGCAGGGAGTAGGAGTGGGTGAGGAGAGATTAATCAAAGAGCTTGTATGCATATACGCATGACCCCTGGGCACAGACAATAGTGTGGGGACGGCCTGGGCAGGGGGAGGATGTGGGGTGACATCTGTCATACTTTCAGCAATAAAGATAAACTTTTTAAAGAACACTAAGAATTTTTAAAATTATGTGGGGGAAAATGTTAGAGAAGGAGTGATATTTTTTCTTTTTTCCTTTGTGAATAAGTGACCATCACTGCTGGCGCAGTGGTCTTACATTTTCACACATCCTTTGTTCTTCCTGTCATTGCCTCTTTCGACTTTGCCTTCTCTCTGACACAAAGGTTCCTTCCCCCAGCCCACCCCTTGCATTGTGTAACTCGTTAACATAAGGATGAGTTGTCTTATAAGGATGTATAACTTGTCTTATAAGGATGAGTTGTTTTTAGGGGAAAAAAGTGATGGGTTTGGCTCCGGTATGCCTTCCAAATAAAGTCTAAACTTTTAGTTCAGGATTTTAAAACTGTGTCTTAACCTACTGCTTTGGCCTTAACTCTCACCCTGACCTTATTGGGTGATGTCATCAAACGGTTGGAAACGTGTTGATCCTGGGCATACTTTCCTTGTGTCTAAACTCTGACATGTTGCACTCCCCTTTCACTTGTTGGAAGTCGTCCCGTCTTTAAGTCCTGTCTCTCCTGTGAAGGCTTTGTGATCCTCCCACTGCAAACGCTTTTCCTCTTCTAGACTTCAGCACCTTTTACATCTACTTTTCTCATGGCATCTAGCCCATTGGTTTTATAGGACCCTTCTATGACTGTGGTTTTGTTTGTCTTTCCAGTAATTTGTCTATCCAGTAATTATTTTCTACTTCTTTTATTCCATTTCTATTTCTGTTGATAAAACTCTGCTCTCCTTTGGTTGTGCTCTACTTATTATATTCTGAAGTGTCTAGGAGATTTTTCTTGGGCAATGAGAAGCAGCGCATAAGAGTTGTTAGAATTAATTGAATTGCTGGGCCTCCTTTTTAGGTATAAGTATCAAACTGAACCTTCCATGAAACTGGATAAGAGTGAAACCAGTCTTTGTGTATTTAAAAAGAGTCTTTAAGTTGTGACCGGAAGGGGAGAATTCAGATGTTTGACAAATAGTGCTAGTGAGTTTAGGAAATGTACAGTGTTGCCAGCAAACAGTGGCCTATGGCGGAGGCCTAGAGTCACGAATGTCGTTCTACAAAGTTAAAGGCTTGGTTTATGTGTTAGACTTGGAGGACATACATCAAGAGTCTACAAAACATAAAAAGAGTGCTCTAGAAGCTGGGCAGGTTTTAAAAACCATAAAGGGTACATCCTTTCTGTTTGACTGAAAACTTGTATTATGCAGTTTCCTCAGTTTGTTTAGGGGGAAAATCGAATTTGGGCAAATATTTTCAAATAATGCTCTTTAGAAAGAAACCTTGCTTGAACAAATAGTTTCAAGTAGTACTAGGAACAGCTTTGTGCATTATTATTAGTAGTACGTGAAGGGACCTTTCCTGAGAAATAACATTTCCTAGTATTTGGAAACCTATCAAGGCCACCTCTAGGGGTGTCAGCATGAGCACAGCCATTGATTGGGTTCCTGAGTCTTTAACTTTTCGGTCCCTTTGTTTACATTTCCCCTGCTTCTCTGATTCACATTATCTGTATTTCCTCCTTAGGTTATTAAAACGGGAAGAAAGTTTCACATTCATCCCTCGGTCCCGTGAAGAGCTTCCCGACAACTTTCCAAAGGAAATCCCCGGGATCTGCTATTTCCTGGAGGTAAGGACTGGTCCGAAGCAGCCAAAGTCTTCTCTGTCTTCATCGAGGATAAAAAAGGTTTCCTACAACATTGGCACCATGTTCCTCCGGGAGACCAGCCTCTGAGACCTGCTCCAGATCAGAGACTCCTCCAAAAGCACAAGCCCAGAACATGGGGCATGACAGGGGAGTGGAGAAGGACTCTTTTCACTGCTTTGTTGGGAGCTAACAGTGGAAATTCTGTTATGTCAGGCAATAATCCTAAAAAAAGGTGGGTGATGGCTGTCAATTAAGAAACTGGAGGGTGTGGGCCAGGATAAGGCGTGTCCATCCATATGAGTGTTTTTGATCACATATATATTTTAATTACAAGTATGGGTCCCCTTTGAAAACTAACCAACAAATAGACTTCATGTTTTCTTGTTTGTCACACATCCAGGTACCTTCCCCTTTATATTTGTATAACTTTTGGCAGCCAGTTTTGTGTATATATTCCTACATTTAGTGAGTGGGTATGTGAAGAATATTTTCTAATTTTTTTTTTTTCTGAACAGACATTTCCTATGTATATCATGGCAGTGTGGGAAACTTCCCAGCAGCAAGAACTGTAACTCAGCAAAATATTTTAGGGATATTACCTATTTTTATACATATCTCTTCTTCTGGATAATTACATTTCACACATTACTAGGTTTTCAGAATCTGCTACTGTATCGTTGGTATATTATGTAACTCTAACCTATTAATTGAATGTAGTTTTACTTATCTAGAGTCCCTACTGCTTAAACTGAGGACACATATAACCAAGGATTTCAGATGCTGAGAAGGCCTTGTACGTCTGCTTAGTAATTATATCTTTTAGATTTAATTAATGTAGCATAGAATCCAGAGGAAACGGGATTTCCTAATAGCAGATATATCTGTAAGTAAGATTAAAGAAAGGTCTTTTTGCCATCTTCTAACAAATATCAGTCAAAATCAAATGCTCTCTACACTGGACGCTTTTCAACTTAGCACTTACAAATACTGGTAGTTATTGTAAGATAATAAACTGCATTCTTATAAAAGCATCCTAAGTGGCATGCACATACCCCCCCCCCCCT